GGAGTGAGGAACAAAGGATTGATGGGGGGGTGGGTTTCGAGTTGGATTTTGAATCCTGCTGATTCTTGAAGCTTGTTGTAGCCACTTCCTAAGTAGCTTCAATTTTTTGAGCCAAAAAAGAACGAGGGGGAGTGGGGAAGGAGATGGTGGGATATCACGCGTCCTACTAGTGAGGGGGCTAGCTGGTAGGATGGGAATAGGGCATAGCAGCAGCCGAGATGGTGGCTCTGCTGCAGTAAGTCTTGCTGGAGTGAGGTAAAGTGGATGGATGGGGGGGGGGTTCTGAGTAGTTTTATGAATTATGTTCATATTTTGAAGTTTGTCGTAGTCATTTTCTAAGTAGCTTCGACTTTTTCTGAGCCAAAGCTGGGTAATGGCCCCGGTACGTCACTCTTCAAAATCATATGTACATTTCCATATGGGATGCTGGGCCCGGTTCCCAGCACGTGCTGCTCCCCACGAATAGATTGGAGCCTTGGTTCCCATTAAATTTGTATGTGTATATATAGCTCAGTTAAAAAAACAAATAAGAAATGATGATATCTCAAGGCCGTTGCCCAAAAACAAAAGAATATAATATGGGATATCACACGCTGCTGGGCACAGCTGCAGACGCTGCCGCTGCAGAGAGCAGCGGCGATCCTCTGGCTTCTCTCAATGTTGGCCACCCCCTCGGCAGTCTGGTTAGTTGAAAGGGGAATGAACATCCCAATGCGCTGCACAAGGTGTCGCTGGCCCTTCGAGTTGACAGTACACCTGTGGCTATCATGCCCACTATCCCGGAGGATTTGGACTTGGTGGATCGAACACTGGGCCCGCATCAGCGGTCCGATGTTCCCCTGGGACGACCGCTGGATTCAGTTCGGCGGAGTCCCGGAAGGTGTTGCGCTAGACATAGGGTGGGGCTATGTTGCTCAGGCAATCAGAGCCTGCTTATGTCTAGTTATCTGGGAAGTCAGAAACAAGAACGTATTCGAAGGAAGATTCCTGGCAGACCAAGCAATCAAAGCGACAGCAAAGCTCCACATCAGGAGGAGTATCAAGAGTGACTGGAGACGTAAGGTTTCCACAGCAAGGAGAAAAGCTGCAGGACTTGGTCGATCGCGGACAAACTAGCCAGGATACAGGACGGCAGGCTGATTCTGGATGAATGGTTACTAAGCTTGGACTAACTACCTGGGCGCTCGGTATATCTCCACAGTAGGAGGGCAGCAGAAGGAAGGGTAAATGGGATCAGGAATGAGTGCCACGGATCTCAGGGGAGCCTCAGCTCCACTGCTCCGGGGTAGGAGCGGTTCAATTTGGTCTATGCCTTTAGTAGGCTAGCAATTCGTATTTTCAAAGGGGTTGGTTCCCTCGGGGCGTTTTCCTCGTAAGCGAAACTGGGTAATGCTCCCAGCCATCCCGGTAGACTGTGAGGACCCCAGCCTCAATGGTTCCATGATAATATAAGCCTTGGGCACAGGGCCCGCTTTCAATTAAAAAAAAAAAACAAAAAAACAAAACAAAGGTGGGGCCCATAGGGCTGCGCTCCCCGTGCTTGTGCTGTTAGGCAATAAATAAGACACGCCCAGGGACTTGCCTATAGGGGACTATAGACGGTTGTTCCATTTTCTGGTACTCCAGTGCTTGCCGATACCTGGGACCGACGAGGAGAGGGGGCTGTTTTCAGCGAGAGCCCGCTTGAGGTTGGCTGCGGTGCCGCCGTGGATTGATAGATCGAGCGGTGGCCTTTCATTTAATGCCTGTTGCCATAGCATAATGGAACGCCAATGGCGCCTCTTTTCCTGGGCTGTAGTGCGCGGGTCTCGTCCAAGACCAAGCAGTCCTGTGGCGACTTTTCCGCCAAACGGTCCGCGTCCTGGTCCCTCGTTCAGAGAGTGGATCGTTCCGACATGTCGCTTACTATTTTTACTCTGGTAGCTGATCAACGGGCGCGCCCAGTCCTTCGGGAGATCCGTTAAAAATGGAACGATACAGAGACAGCAGCACGGCCCCTGCGCATGGACAGATCGAGAAAGTGGTGAAGGGACCAGACCCGTGTGGCTGAATGGTACACCGTGAGCTGTTGATAAACCGGCCTCCTTTCCTTTTTTTTTCTTTTCATTTTTTCAAACTAATCTATATTCTTCTCTCAATCTTGTTTTGTATATATTTTCCACCTCTTCTATCTCATCCTCTCGCTACTCTATGTATCAGGCATTGCCGACGGGGGAAACCGGCGATTCTAGTGCCGAGCATCTTTGGCCAGTCACTCGCACCTCCCCCTACCCCCCTCCAACCCCGCATTAGGGGTGTCTAATGGCCAATATCATTGCTGCATAGCAACGAACAATATTGGCCAAGGTCCTGCCAATGCTGGCTTGGAGGGCCAACGGGTTATCTCTAGCTGGTAGAACACCAAGCTTGCCCAGGCACGAACGTGAGGCCTATGGAGATTGAACCCACGACGTCCTGAATGCAACTTCTGTGCCTTACCAACTGAGCTAGGTCCGCAGGCCAAACCGACCTGCTTTCGAGTCTGGCGGGCCGCTTAGTTTGGTAAAATGAGAATGATCGAATGATCGACGGGCGCCGTCGGGGAGGGTAAAGAGGCGGCCAGCGGCCCGGGCGATTGAAATCGCGTCACGGCCCTCGTGGCAACCAGAGGCCGATTATCGGGAAACTTTTTTTTTTTTTTTTTTTTTTTTTTTTTCAACGGGAAACATTTTTTGTTGGCCGGCGTGCGTAGCTGGCCGTTGCAAACTGGCGGGGTGTCGGGTCTTCTGGGCCCAGATACCGTAGCGATGTGCTTGGTACACACGCCCCCGCGCCGGAGCGGAGTCGCGGGGGGGGGCAAGTACAGCAATAATGGGGCCACCATACCGTCGCAAGTGCGGATCGTACGGTCAGCGGGAGTCTGAGCGCGAGTGCGACAATCGGCGCGTCGCGATGAATCTCCGCCCAGTGGCGCGAACCGTCCAGATGACTTAAGACGGTATAACGACTACTTATGATAATAAAACTGCTGGCCGAAGGGGTACGACGACCAGTACCGCTCGGAGAGCTGCGCAACGAACGAAAGAAGGCCATTCAACCCGCCGAAGCCGGTCGGACCGTTGCGCAAAGCCCCAGGTCGGCAAATGACCGACCAAGATCGATCCAGCGCAAGGCGCACTTACCAAAGGTCGCATTTTCTTGTCGTCGAGCTCCTTGTCGCGCACTCCCAAGGAGCGCGCTGTCGCAGAGTGGACAAGTCCCGTATGAGGACGCGGGAACGGCTGTAGAGAGTCAAAATGGCGCGAGAATTCAACTAGCCGACTCCCAACGGTAAACTGCTGCCGGCATTCGTCGCTGCTACGCCCCGCTCGAGTTCCTGGCTCTCAGCAGCCGGCTTGAGCTCTGGCCGACTACCCGTGTCGACCCCGATCGCGGTCCGGTTGGAAGTTGCCGAGTGGATCTGTGTCTCGCCTGTGGGGTCAGTCAATCCATCAATTCGACATTCAGACGGGTTCCTGTCGTCGCGCCGGCTTCAACAGTTACCTTCCGCTAGCGATTCTCCGTTCCGTTCAATCGACCTGCTTGACCTATGGATGGAAAGACGAGGGGTAGGGGGTAGAGGATCAATCTGAATTTCAGGGAGCGATAGGGTGACGGCAAATGGTTGCTTGCCCAAAGGAGGAACTCAGCTGGAGCATCCATGGAATTCTGATGCTGTTCTCTGTAGCTGGAAGTGTAAGATGAACCTCGCAGAGGTGGTTGGGTGGGGAAGCTTGCTTGGAGGTCGTCATCACGTGATGAGTGTCATCGTGCAGGGAAGCAGAACGTCGTTTCGGACAGCCCCTGAAGAGGCTGATGTGCGTGGAACTGCAATTTGGTTATAGTCTCCCTGCAGACTCTTTCAGTGGATGATAGATAACATATCTGTCCTATGTGTTTTCTCTAAGGTTTTCTGTTTCCTCCCATTCTTTCCCATTTGCTATTTTTCTGAGAGCAATTTTTTCATGTATGTATTACGGCACTGCCATTTCTCCCGCCGTTTGAGTGGAATTTCTCTTGGCGCAACACATCGATAGGACATAGAAGGCTTAGTGGGCAAGTCAAAACCTGTTAAATGTAGTTGTTTCCTCCCGAATTGTGTACCATGTGACCTCCGTTACTGCAGCATTTGTTTATTTCATGGTGTCAGCGGCATTCCTGCTAGGTATTGTCCTTCTTCCTTTACTCAGCTGTTATCCTTCTTTCCTCCGTCCGTCTGGGGATGGCATGAAGCCATGCTCTGTCATTAGTACTCCGATTCTGTTAGATATAGAGAGCACGACCCTTACCGTTCGTGAGTAAGCATAGGGAGATGAATTGTGCTACACCAGCATGCCCTAGACATCAGAACACTCGGTGTTAGCATGTGTAGTCTTCTTTCACGACGATTGGCTCAGAACGTCTATCTCTTTCTCTCTTCTTCCTCTTGCTCTTCATCCTCTATTTTCGGCCGGCAACCACGACATGGTTCTACCAAAGTTGGTCGCTCTAGTGCCCGGATTCCTTGAGCTAAGGATGGGCGAATGCAATCAACCATACGTTAGGGAGACTTCTGATTTTAGGTTCTAGCAGACAAGTAAAAGAGGGAGAGATCCTCAACTCCAGTAGCTGAGTGCATGCCTCTCGGTCTTCATATTTTCCTCGCCTGGCTGTCTTGCTATCTGTCTCTTTGTGGCGCCCTCCCTCTTTCTCAGTCTCTCTCTCTGAGCATGCCCTTCTAGGAGTATGTAAGTCGTTTCATGAATTTCCTTGATTTCTTGGTTGACTTTGTTCTTTCCGAGTGCCTTCCTCTCTTTCCCTCCACTTCAATCTCGTTTCCTCGACTCTCCGTGGTCGCTACTTGGGGAGTGAAGGTTCGCCATTCTCGGGGCGTCGAGATGTCTCTCAGGGCATCAATGGTGACGGAATTGTAGGAAGGGACAGGGAGGCCAGGTGTGGCCAACGGGTGGGGCAGAGTCGGGAAGATTCTCCGGCTACTGGAATTACTATGGGAATGCCGAGAGACGAAAGGTCTGGCCATCAGCTGCCCCACCGGTAGGCGGGTGAAAAGTCTCCGGGTACAATTCTTTGTAAGTTTGTAGTGTACACCGAAGAATCAATCATCTGGAGTCAAAAAAGGTTCATCAAACATGCCGCCCAAGCAAATTCGAATTCCTGACCTCCTCAGGGCCAGTAAGCCCACGTCCGCACTTGGGGGTGCTGATGTGGCGCTGAAAAAACTAGCTGGTGCTGACGTGGCATCAAGGAAACTTGTGGGCTCTGACGTGGTCTCAGCCAGGGGGAAGAGATCTCGGGGAATCGCTTTAGAAGGTGATGGCGCCGTTGTTGAGTTTGGCAATTCCTCAACAGCGGATATCGTGGGAGGTGACGATGTGGCGCTCTTACCTGAGAGGAAGAGGGCACGGCGTCAGATTGTCCCGACGATGGCGGCGCCCCACTCTCTGAAGTCTCGCCTGCGGGGAGGAGAGGAGTGCGCGAGAAAGGAGTTGCAAAGCAGCGCATGCAAGAAGAGAGATGCTGAGGTGCCAACGGGAACGGTCAGCGCACGGAGACGCTTGTCCTCGGTAAGTCGTATGCAATAAGCCTGCTCCTGAATTATCATCCTCTCCATTTCCTCATGCCGTTGTCCTTTGCTCCCTATCCCTACTTTCTCGCCATCCCTCCACCCATTCCTATCTTGGGTCAGTGTCGTTGCTCAGTTTTTTGATGATCCTGTTGATATGATTGATCAAGGGCTGATGGGTTCGCCTCCGGTTGCCTCAACCCCTTTGACAGTCTAGCAGCACCATAGGGCAGGTTGAAAATCTATCTTCTTGTCGGCCATTTGTTTCTCCATTGATGCAGTCTTGATTAATATTTGGGTCGATTGCTCTTTGTCAGCGTCGTGATTGGTGCGTCGATTGGGTCCTTCCTGGTGTCGCAATTGTTTTCTTAGGTTGATAGCCCTGTTGATTGATATGTCGCTAGTCCTGATTCTCTTCCAATTAGTGAAGTCCCCGTTTTCCCTGGCGTTACGAAATGGATTATATGCTGCGATTGTCTAATAATGCATGCTGCACGTATCGATTAGCAGTGGTTAGTCTTTCGCTTATAATACTTTAGGGTTCGTTTTGTTGCAGGAGCATGGCGGCACGGGAAGTGCTGTGGAAGGAAGCTCTTCAGCAGCTGATATAGGTGATGACGAGCCTAATTCGGAAGCAACTGGACAGGTAACGGGAGGGGATCCATCCACGTCGACTTCTTGTTCGGCAATCCTCCAAGGGGGAGGAGTCACTCCTGAACAGTTGCGAGCTGCCCTTAGCAGGCGCCTGACCACTGAGAATGGGGAACTCCAAATTTCCGGAAGTAAGGTGGATGTGGTGGAGCAGCAAGATGGGGGTTCTCCACCGTCAGATGTGGCAGCTGTCAAGTGGAAACCCTCTCAAACTATTTCTGATGTTGGGAAAGCCGACAATGGCGGAAGGATGCCTATTAACACCCGGAGATATGGTTCTGTTGCTGAATCGCCTTCCACATCAGCACCGAGTTCGCCTCGGGCGAGTCCACGTCAGATTCGCACCAGCCCGCGTCGTCATCTTCCGCCCAAGCCCGTCGCAGATGTTCGTGCTGCACCTTCTTCCCCGAAGGCTGTTCTTGATCGTGGGCGAGGAGGCAAGCCATTACAGAGCTCGTTGGACGGATGGGCACGAGTGCAGAAGGGTCCAACTCCTTTGCGTAACTACGGCAGTAGGGGGAGTTTGATGGCTGCCCTTGTGCTGGGGAAATGTGTTCCTCCTACTACACCTGTGAAGTCCACACCGACTGGGGCGGTAAGGGAGTTGGGTGCTGCCGAAGACTGCGAAGGGGTTTCTGAGACAAGTAGGAATTCAGCAGTAACGGAGGATGCTCCTGGCATAGAGAGTGGAGGGACCTCGCCTCGACGTGGTGGAATCTTGGGCTGGGCTAGACGTGTCACCCGGCACGGAGTGAAAGGAGGTATGACAAGTCCCGAGCGGGGCCCCAGGAGGGAAGGAGGTGCGGTAGGGGATAGCGATTCTCCAACCCTCCTCAAGAAGGCAGCGTCAATGCGAGATGCAGAACCAGCAGTACAGGGCGTGAGATCTTCTGGCAAATTGCCTCCCAAGTAAGTCGTCTTCTTGGCCGTATGTCTTCTGCTTTATCATCCAGGATTCTGGCCGGATTTACTGCAGCTCGGTGTTTGGTTGATTGATAATCTGATTGAATGTTTGAGTGATTGATTACTAAGCTGCTAGCTTATGGACCAAAGCGATTGCTTGTGTTAATTTGCGGAATTTGTATCATTCAAGTGTCCAATTGATTTGTTAATAGATGGCCTGTAGAAGCGGTTGAAGGTAATGTGGTCATGTTGCCCTTAGTATTGGAGTGACTGTATCCCCTTTGGGAATGCACTCCCCCCGTGTAAAAATAATCAGAGTGTGGTATTGACCTTGTTTATTCCATGTTACCTTGTGGTAATCGGTCATGGCGTTCTTCACCATTCAAGATCCCGCACGTGTCCCCTCCTGTGTGTTTCGTGAACGGAAGGTCGTTGTATGGTTCAAGGAAAGCTCTAAGCAAGCATGACCTATTTATTAGCTGAACTAGACCAGCTATGTGGTCATAATTGCCGTCCTCTATTTTCTAACATTCACGCCGCTCGTTCATCTTCGCATGGTTCGCAGTTTCTGGTTTCGCATGTGGGAAATGCAGAGTTTTTTTGTGGCCATGGGTGATTCCCGTGCATGGAACAGCCAGCGCGAACGGACATATTAAATGGATATAGTGTATTTTGTTCTTTGCCTAGTGTGGATGGTATCGAGTACTCCATCGTAGGAGCATTATCTTCTATCCACCGACCGACATGTTCTGGGTTCAGTCCTGTCTCTGTCAGCTCGTACTCTGTCGGTCTGAGTAGTGATAGGTCATTGCCTTCCTCTCTCATCTGGTTATGAATCCGAAAATAATCGACCCGTCTGTCTACGTATCAATCCATTTGTCTATCCTCTGCCTATCACCTGCATGTCCTTCGTTCGGTACCTCTCCACCTATGTATTCGTTCGGCAATGCAGGGTGCCATTGCGTGGCA